TCCCCGATATCTAAATCTATGTTGTGGTTTTCATACCAGAAAATTTGAGAATTCTGGTTCTAGGAATCTCTTTGTTCTAGGTTCTAGGTTCTCTTTGTTTTTCTATCTTAAGGGTATAAGGTATTTCTTTTCTTGTTGCTAGATTTTCCTCTGTAGGAGAAACTGTAAGTTTTGGAAGGTTTACAGTATCTGTCAGTGGAAGATTACCACCACAAGAGACAAATCTGCAATGAGATGAGGAGGTGAAAGTATAAGGCAGTCAGAAGAGGACATGGAGAGCTAGGAAAGGACAAAAGGATGAAATGGAGGACAACAGAGATTATTCAAAATGCAGCAATGTTAAGAAGCAGCAAGGAAAGATCCTTCTTTCTTCATCTCTTCGCATCCTTCCATCCCTCCTTCCTTCTTTCCTTCTTTCTTTCTTTCCTTCTTTCTTTCATCCTAGGAGTAACAAAGGACGTTTAAACTCATTCCTCTTTTCATTTTTAAAAAATAAATATGAATTTAAAGAAAACTAATAACATTCCTTAGATGCAAGAGAGTGAGCCACTGAACTATGATGAAAATTTAACCCTCTTTTTTAATAAATGCTTAGACAAAGTAGAACAGCTTTGAAAGGTGACACTTAAAAGCTGTGACTGCAAAGTAAGCCTAGAGATGGCGATTACTGGCTTGTGACCTCAGGCTCTTTGATTTCAAAGTTCTGTTTCAAGGGAGAAGGGGATTTGAAATGTTTTGTCATACTTCCTAGAGTTTTACCTTGAGCCCTGCTGAAGCTAAAGGCAGATGGTTATATGTACTCCCTGGCTGATGTCTTCTACAAATCTCCTTTGTATTATTTCAGGGTGGACAAGTATGATTGGTGTAGCTTAAGTGTTGTGAGATCACATGCATGAGTAATGCCAGAATGAATGATAGCAACCAGGAGCTGATGCCAGGTTCTGCAGGGTTAGCAAACCTGTTAGGACTGGCTGCAGTAAAATAATAATGAAACAATGAAATTGTTGAAATTAGGCACCCAGCGTGGCAGTATGACAACTGAGCAGCAGACCTGAGGTTTTCTAGGGGGAAGACTGCATCTTAGGTGGCTCCAGCATCTGGGCCTAGGTCTACTCTTTGATAACATTTTCAAATGATAGGCAGTAGCTTCAGCTGGTCCAGCTCTTCTAAGATTCTGCTTTCAGTCAAAACTTTGTTGTTGTTTTTTTTTTCCTCTACTGAATCTGAAATGTTTTAAGAGGCACTGCAGACTGCAATGGCAGACAGAGATGAGGAAGTCTGTAGACTTGTGTCCTATAGATACTATGGAGTACAGATCAGCGACACCGCTGTAATATTATTACTCAGTTTTTACTATAGGAAATAGGTATGTTGTGATTTGGAGAAAAAAGTTTTCCTGTTTCCCACTGTTACTCATTATCCTAAGATTGTTCAGCTAGGATCAGCAAAGATTTACTCAGTTACCAGTTACATGTAAGTTTGAAATATGTTAAATATGCATGCAAAACATTTTCTTTCTTCAACCTGTTTTGCTACAGCAGCATGCCAGCTGGGTAGAGCACTCCCAGTTCTGTCAACAGGAGCATTACTGTTGCTTCAGGGGGAACAAGGCTGAACTCATAAATCCAGGGTGAAAATATTTTTTGTATCTTCCCTGTGTTCTTGGTAGTGTTTTTGTTCTTCTCCATCCAACTGCCTGCTTAGTCATTATCAGCAGGTAGATTGTGCAATATCCATTCAGAAATAAGTGTACTAAAATCAATTCCCTAGGTCAAGGTCACAGCTTAGTTCCTAAAGGAAAAACACTGATCTAAAGGAGTACTCTCAGGGGGAAGGCTGTTCTAAATTTGCAAACATGCTCAGTGTTACTTTTGAAAGCCACAACAAGAGCTGAAGAACATAACACAACTCTGACTCATTTCCATTCATGCAAAAAAGGTCAGGTTTTTAATACCATAATATTTTTTCAAAACACAGTATCTGGAAGGTTATCTTCTCATTAATTAGGTGCCTGTAGTCTTAAATCTTTTCCAGTCTCATTATCTACTGCTAACAAAAGGCCTATTTTAAAGTGATATTAGACTCTGCAGCTCCCAGTAAGGGTTTCTGTATACTGGGCTGATATTGCAATATAAACATGCATAAAGGAACTTTGCACCTAGTACAGTTCTCTACATAAGTAGTAATTCATCATTGTTGCTACTGGTGGATGAGCATTAAATCAGATTAAAACAGCACACTACTAGAGTCTCTCAAAGTAAATTCATGTATCACAGTAGAAAACGAACCCAACTATCATTATATTACTTGGGAGTCTGCTGGAGAAACAAGTGAAAATGCAAGCCTTTTAAAGAACAGAAATGTTAGTTTTTATTCTTTTTTCCTCCAGTACACACATGTGCCGCACAATAATAGCAATTATACGTAGATCCAGTTCCCTTAACATTTTGGCATTCTCTGGGGACATCATTCAAAGGCGGATAACATGTAGTTTATTACTAAATAGACCTGATTGAAATCCCTTAGTATTCTTACCTGTAATTAACAGTAATACTGTTGCTGTAGATAATGAGTCAAAAGTATTTCAGCAACACCATGAAATATGAATTAATTCTACACACATTTTACCATGAAAAGCTATCAGCAATATTGCGATTTTTCAAAATCGATGAGGATTGGAATTATTCTGAGATAAATGCTATAAATTCATGTGATTCTTTTTAAGCATTCTGCAGAGAGGAAATAGTAGCAGTTTCCAACATCTTGAAACTCCCCAGTTTTATATGCCTGTCTGATACAGCTGCAGGACTTGTGAAGACCCAGTCAAAATCAATTCTATGCTACCATTCCAGGCAATTAGTTTGCCTCCACTGAGGAAAGTCTCCAGGATTTTACTGCTACCAACTAGTTTCATGAGCTTGGCAGGGAGTAGACTTGCTCCCAAGAAAACATTCCCAGCATTTACCATGTCCTGAATCTTAGGAAGCTTTGTGTTGCCCTTGAATAAGACTTTTTAGCATCTGTATTCCCTGGATCCTACTTGTATTTCAGCTAACCTGAAAAAAGGACTGAGCAAGACTTTCTTACCAATTGCATGCACCCTTATCCTGATCAGGACTGAGTCTTATTTCAGACAGCCTTCAGTGACTTCCATCATGGATAGGTCAACCTAAGACCAAGGCACTGCGGAGGCATGACAGCTGAGACTGAGTTTTGGCAGAAGACTGACATAAAGTATCAGAGAAGCCTTTGAAGATGGGAAAGGAATACAGCAATGAAAAAAAAAATCAGGCATAAAAGACTGTTTTATAAGGAAGGCACCACTAGAGGCCAGATTGAAGATGACATTAAATGGAGGCATTTGAAGACATGAAAACAGGTTCAGGAAGGAGGCAAGAGTGACTCTGAAATGTAATTAGTAGAATGAGAAGCAGCAGCAACATCAAAATTTTCTGAGACCAGGGCAAGAAGCCTGAGAAAAGAATAAGTGCAGCTGGCTGTCTGGGATGGTACAAATAAACAAGAGAGAGATCTGGGTCACTTGGATTAAGTGTTGGGTAATGTGGCCAGACTAATCTATGCTTGTCCTACGGGTAGAGGAGGGTTTTATTCTAGCTTTGCACTTGTCTGATCTTAGTTCAGCCCCCTGCACAAATCACAGAAGCTGATAAAGTCCCTGATGAACATAAACCCAAAGGAAATAGAAGCACATCTTCAACCATGCTATTTCTTTTCCCGTCAAGAGCAGCTTGAGATCTACATTCAGAGAGAGTTTCAGTTACCCAAGGAGCCTGTGGTGCCAAGACAATCTGCATAAATCTAACACACAAGTAAGTGCCAGAACATTAAACATCAAACCAAGTGAGTATGCTTTGACTAGCAATCTGAGAGTCAGTATCACCCCTCCACCTGGCTACCACAGAAAGTAGCATCTGAGGACCATGCTGCTCCCTTGAGCAACACTGGAGAGTTTAAGGTCAGGAATTACTAGTAAAAAACGTGTCCTAACTTTGCTTAAGTCTTAAAGGAAACCATACAACTCTGCTCTTGTATTTTTGTGCATAACATAGCTGCAATTGGTTGGCAGAGACCATCGTTCTACTTGTCTATAGTTTAGGACAGGAGACAAGTTTCAGTGAGTGTAAAGGAATAGCAATGGTTTCTCTTGCCTCTGTCTATAGCTTGCAACTCAATTTGAACAGGATCTCTCCCTTTTGGACCAGTTCAGTAAGGGGAAAAACAGATTGCTGGCTTCAAAACTAGTAGAGTCAGATAAGCATCTGTACTACAACCACATCAGAACAGGCGTGAGTGGTAAATCTGTTGTGGGTCCCTGTCACTGACACCCTACTGATAACTTAGAAGTGACCTGCCTAAAGCTTACGTTACATGCAGTAGCAGGAACTAACACAAATATTATACTTTCGGGATTACTTTGACAAGTGCTTCACAGGCAGCTGCTTTAAGATAAAACATCAATCTACTCCAGCATCTTTAGAAAGGGACCAAAGAAAAAAAGAAATGAGCATACTTTCAAAACATACTTGAGATAGTTACTGCTTCACTTGGCAACTGTGCAGCATGCTTAGAATACAGGCCAGAGCAAACTTGGAACCAAGTCTTCAAATCAGATAGCAATCTCTAAAGATTTGACTCCCAACTGGTGCCTCTCACTATTTCCTCATCTCCCCAGCTAATAAACATTTCTGATTGCATGTTTTTATTACTCTCTAGATGAGGAGATTCTCCACTGACAAACCAGGATTACATTCATGTGGCCACTAGGACTTTGTCACTTCAAGAACATCAACAGCACTAGAAGATTTGAATGCTATACAAACAATTGTGATAAGTGGCAGCTGTGGCAGGATGAAGAATGATTTTTACTTAGCTCTCTCCGTTCCTTTATTCCAGGCATTTAGCTATTGCAGATTAGTGTTGTCTTCCACATAGAAGCAGTAGCTGACATCTCTTAGACTTAATAGGAAGTCCAACAGGCATTGCAGATTAGTCGAATGTGCATTTTATTGGAATCTGCTATTCACAAAATAAGCATGAAACATCATTACTTTCAAAAAGTTTGATCAAACTTCTTCAATTGTTAATTCATGTTTTGTTGCTTCCTCGATGTTTTTCAGTTGGCGAAGCACCCATTCTCTTTGTTTCTTTCTCTGTTATAGAAAAAGAAATAGTCAGTCTGACCTGTTTAGACTTCATATGCTTTAAAAACAAGCATAGGTAGATTTGGGCTGAACATTTATTTGTTTTAAGCTAAGAAGCTTTAACTCAGAGTGAGCAGATCTTCCTGAGCTTTCAATATACTTGTGAACAATATGGAGAAGAAATCCCCACAGATAAATCCAAGAAAACAGAATCTGATGGTTTGCGACAGTCTTTAGACTCCAAATCCATTGCCTTATTTTCCTTTTTGTGAACTTGCCACCAAGTCCATACTTATAATCAAAGCTGCAGGAAGCTGAGATCTCTAATTCCATTTTAATCAAACAAGACCACCTGCATAAGGACTACTAATCTAAGCTTTTCCCAGGATACCTTACACCAATTGAAGGATTGCATACAAGACCAACATTAGCAATAACTAGGATTCTTTCTATAAAATATTATGATTTCAATTAAACAGGCCAAATAGTAGATTGTGTTGTTTTGTTTTTTTTTCTCCTGCATTTTCAGTTAAGTCTCCAACATGAAGAAATTTAAGAATTTTTCCAGTTAAGCCACTAATCTCTTCCCATTCTTAAGTTCCACCTGCAGAGAGAAAAAAAAACAAACAACAAAACAAACTACTTCTGCAGTAGCATTCATATGTTAACATGCAAGTGCAGAAGCTAAATTAAATACCAAATGAGTAAATCACATCTAGTCTAGCTGGAATGATGTCAAAGAATCTAAGAAGTTATCAGTATGAACTAAGACATACATTCATAGAATCATAGAATTCACAAAGTTGGAAACGACCTATAAGATCATCTAGTCCAACCGTCTCCTCATCACCATTGCCACCACAGGCACTAAACCACATCACGCAGCACGTCGTCCAGACGCCTCTTGAACACTGACAGGGACGGTGACTCCACCACCTCCCTGGGCAGCCATTCCAATGCCTGACCACTTTCTGAGAGAAAAAGTTCTTCCTTATGTCTAATCTAAACCTTCTCTGATACAACTTGTGGCCATTTCCTCGTGTCCTGCTCGTTGCCTGGGAGAAGAGGCCAAATTTCACCACAACCTCCCTTCAGGAGGTTGTAGAGTGCATTGAGGTCTCTCCTGAGCCTTCTCTTCTCCAGAATTATTGATAAAGTTGTGAAGATGTTGTATAACCACAATATTCTTCTATTACTAGAAAGATGTGCAAATACAGTACTGGCACAAAATTGTATGCTATTTCACAGTATATGGAGAATATAATTACCACAATAGCTGTATCAGTTTTCTTCTTTTTCAACATTGGAGGATCTTTTATTCCTGGTATTCCAGAAACCATCCATGAAGATCCACTCTTGGGAGTTACTGCTAACTTCTCAGATGCTTTTGTGGGAGTTTGAGTCTCCACACTTGAGACAACCTTTTCACTTGCCTCTGCATTTGATTCATCAGATGCCAATACTGTGGAAAGTCGTTTTCTAGAATACACAACTTGAGAGCTATGGCTTATCTCTCTGCTGGAATCTTGCAAGTCAAATACTTCTGAAAACCTTTTTGGAGACATATGAGGGAAGTATGCTTCAACACTTGCTAGTGATAGTTGAGCTACTGACCTTCCTAGAGTTGATTTTGGCACTGGGGATATACAAGCTCTCTTACTGAGATCTTGGTCCTTGATTGACTGATTGATTGGACCCGAAAGAGATAGCATTTTTCTTGAGAACACTGAGTCCACTGGAGTGCTGTGTTTCACCACTTTCCTTTTTAGAGATCTTCTAACATCCCAAATAGAATCTTCTTCCTCTGACATCTGGAAGTCAGGTTTGCTGTCTTAAAGTAGAAAGAAAATTGCACCATTGCTCATATACTATAAAATGTCATGCAAAGTGTAATGCAAACATGAAAATAAGAGCATCTCTCCACATGAATTTTACCTATTATATTGATGAATATTCTTAAAAGGGTTTAAGAGATTAGAAGACACTTATTCCTGTCTCAGCCCTCTGCATACAGAGCTCCACATTGGCTAAAACTTAAGCAATCCTATTATCTGTAACTTCGTTACGATAATTGTTTTTCTTTTTCCCCTCAGCATAAGCCTTGGGGTTGCAGTTACTGAAACTATGGAAGACAGCAGTAACTGTGGCACATCAAAAGAAATCAAATAGCATAGGAAAAATGAAAGCACACTGGAGTAACAGAGACATTCTGGTCCTACTCTAATTGCTATTTTGTTACTCTCGCATGAACAACCAATTTTAGAAAAAGCTTCTAATTCCCTCCCACTTGCCTTTTCAAAGAAAGTTTTACTACTTCTGAACTTTGATCCTAAAACATTTTGTACAGTTAAATTTACAGCAATGTCAAGATTGCTCTTTTGTGAGTTACTTCCCTACTTTTACAGCTGCATCAACAACAGAAAAGAACTCGTCTTCTTAAACCTGGAGAAGCCTAAGATAAATACACTTTAAAGTATAATTAGAATATCTCTCTTAAGCAAGTGTTCTAATATTATTCTAATAATTACTGAACTGTGTGGTTTCATGAGGCAATTCAGATATTTCATACATGCTGATTGTGTAAGACAGCAACAGATTTTCAGTACCTATGTTCTGAGACCTCTATACAAAAGATCATGTATGGGTGAGCTGGACTTCTATGAGAAGAAAGGCATCAGCTCTTCTTTCCTTGGAAGCGTTTTGCACCTGTGTAGAGTCTATGAGTTTAGTAGTGCCACACCCACTTCGTGTTTCTAGAGAGCACAAGATGGCAAACAGGGGAACTTCTTCAGTAGATAGGTTGTTTTTTGTTTATTTGTTTGTTTTCTCTTCCTTAGAAAGAGGAAAGAGTAGAAATCCTTTATTACCCACTTTGAATAACCATTTCTCCTCCCATTTCTGCATGTTGCCAGCTTTCATGACTGACTATAAACAGCCCTAATCTGACTGTTTTTTCTCCTCCCTGTTCAGTCACGTTAACTTCCCTTAGTCTTAGAAGCTTACTGGTAGCAAGTTTATATGAATAAGCTAGAAATGGAAATCAGCATAATAAGTTTACAACTCCTCAAATCCCCTCCTTACCCTCCAGCACTACTATACATTTTGATGCTTTCCCCTTACTCATTAAATAATGATTTATATGAGTAATTATAAACCTTTATTTGTACTCCTAAAGATAGCTTTTGTTTCCAACCAAAGCTTTCAAGAAGAGCAAAATACTACACCATACTTTAGACATGCTTGTAAGAAACACTTTCCCCCCCAGTTGCATTAATAATACAATTTAATGACACCCAAAAGGGAAGGAGGAATAGAAAACTAAAAATGGCAGAAAAAGTTTAAACAATTAAGAAAGATAGGATCTACAATAAAAGACAACATCAGCAAAAGAAAACAAACTTACCAGTGCTATTAAGTTCCATCTGAAGTCTTCCACTACTTCTCTCCTTTTCAGGTGATCTAACTAAAGATCCTGCTTCAATTCTTATAGCCCTGGTAACTTCCCAGCATTCTTTGCTGCAGAACCTCCCCAGATGATGCATCTGGCATTTTTTTAGGAGTTTCATTAGTGCTGCTAAATGAAAAAATGCTGAATAGTAACCTAAGATGAAGTAGTCATAGGAAAACAGGCTGTCCAAATCGTCTGTGTGCTAAATTTGTTGCTGTTTAGGGTCTGCTGCTTGCTATCTACTTCAATAACAATAAATCTAGTGATTTATTGGCTTCACATAACTGTTTATGGCATGGCATGTTGAGGATCTGTTACAAGAGGGATGCTTGTTTATGGACATGTATCTGTTTCTATTCAGATTTTATTTTCTTTGTTTTTATTACCTGAAAAATTAATGTTAGGAAAAAAACATGTTAAATCTTCAATGAAAAACTCTTCTTTTGAGAAAATAAAGGTAGTAAGATTACACTGAATATTGTTTTGCTGCAGTATGAATTTCACAGTGTTTGTAACTAACATTTGTGGAGATTACAGCACTAAAGAATTTTGTCTCAAACCATCAGCTCTTAGATGAGAATTGTATTGGTATGAAATGCTAAGGTTCAAGTGGTGGAGGACCGTAATTTTTGTTTACAAAAAATCCAGCTGGACTGAACCAGCCCCACTAGAAGTGCTAGTGAACTTTGTGGCAGCAAATAGCTGCCATCGCAACACTGTAGAGCAAGCAGAGATGTGGAGGAATGCTTGCACAGATATTGGGGTAACCCTTTTTGACAAAGCATGAATTGTGGAGCTTTAAAATCTAGGTTGATCAGACAGACCTAATTTCAGGGCTTTATGTGGATGATCTGAGGTTGTAATATACACCTCAACAGGAGGTCAAAGGTCTCATCTTGCCAGGAGTTGAACTTGTGGTTGCAGGGAATATGAGCATTTCAAACCTAATAATAAACCACTCTAGCTTGCTGTATTAATACTTGCACTATGAACAGAGAGTTGGAGCGACCAGTTCAATATTTAGGAGTAACAGTCTGTCAATACGTGGAGTATGTTTCTAGGTTTAAATTGTCCGCCCCCGCCCCTAAGGAACTGAAAGAGAGCTCGAGAAGTTGAGGCACTTTAGAATCACATGGATTGCATAAGTAAACGTTCTGGAAATAAATAGCTGGTCCAAGTAAAGCTATTTATTTCCTAAACTCCCAGGGGAGATTCCTACAGGAATATTTTGAGAACTAAACATAAAATCATTTCAAGTTATTTGTGGCTGAGTAAAAGAAAAAAAATATCTTGGTCCCTTATAAACATAGAAGAGGCTAGACCAGCCCTTACCTCATTTTGACTATTAGTATTTAGTTTTCAAACTAGTGCCCTTGTGGCTTCATGAACAGACCCACCAGGTCATCCATACTGTGTCTTGCAGAGCTCAGCAAGGCAGTTCTTTATATAGCACAAAGCAGTGATGTCTTGACATAGTGTCGCAATGTTTGCGCTCTCCTGTATAAGTGGGACATACTACTGCCTGTCCCAGCAAGGGTGGGATGCAAGCAATGTTGTGCAGCATGAACCTACACAAGAAGCTTTTTGGTAGGTCTGAGTAATTTGCCAAGAAGTAACATGCATTACCATAGGACAATTTTTTTCCCCATAGTTTTCTGATCTAATCTGAGACTACACATTTTCAGTTGCTGCTCCGCTCATTTCTTCAATTCCCACTCTGATTATTGTTGCTAAACAGTTCTGAAGACAACTTGAAGGCCAAACTTAGCACCTACATTTACCTAACATGTCAAATTGGTTTTGTATTTCTAGTTTGTTAAGTCAAAAATCTTGCAAAAGTGTCCCAACAGTGAGGAGTTTGATACAGTCTGTAGTACCAGACTTCTCCCTGCCCTTGTGACTAATCTAAGGGATTTTTGGTGTGGGTGATTTTGAAAAAAGTGCATAATAGACAGTAGGAATAGGAGCTGGTAAGTGCAGCTCATCAGTCTATTGTCTGATAAATCAGTGGGATGATCCTTTCTGGGAGAAATGGAAGGAAGGAGGAAGAGCCAGGGGAAGAATACAAGGAATGGTGAAGAAAAAGACAAAGATAGAAGGAGACAAAGGGGAAAATACTTTGCCAATTTTACAGTGTAATGAAAAGAATAAACTAGAGGAAAGATTAGAGGAAGAAAGGAAAGTCAAAGAGAAAGGAAATTATACTGTATTTCTTAAACAGTTTAGAAAATTTAGGCCTAGATTATCAGTTGTTTTTGGATGAAATCCCTCCACAATTAAAATCTAATTCAAATTATTATAATCTCTCCTTCCCCAGTTTGAGTTCTGTGGTGTAAAGTCAAATCAGAGTGCTCTAAGACTGTCTGACAGACTGAACTTCTCAGTGAAATAAAGAGTGCTGCATATTTATCAGCATGAAGGCTGAAACTAGCAGGGAGCCTCATCATGAACTAAACTTTACAGCTGTAGTGCCTTCCTTGGTCTACCCAGAGTTTTGATACAACGGGATGTGCAAAAGGAGCAGAACCTCTGTTTTCCTAAGTTGTAAGCATTTTGGGTAGCCATAGAGATTGAAATGCAAGCAGTCCAAAGCTTGTTTAGATATGCTGTATGGAGAAGTACACTGGGACTTTTCAAAGGAGCCTTAACCCTTTGTTTTCACTGATTGCAGTAGGAATTACATGCTTGGGTGCTGATAATACTGAGATTTGTGAGAGGATGTATTATGGTGGCAGTCATTTAGTACGTATATTTCATGGAAATCTTCAGAAACCAGAAAACTTCAGAAAGGATTATAATCCTCTGTGGTCTGTTAAACAAAAACTATGCAAATTTATGGACCTGATCTCCAACAGTTTTGGAATTTAAGAAGTCTTTTCTTATTGTCAGTGAAACGCCAAATCATGATACTGTGATTACTGGAGGAAAAAAAAGCATAATTTATTGCAGCATTGTGGAAGTGGTACCTTGCACCTGTTTTTTCAGTGTTACAATGACCTTTATTCCTGGTCAGAGACAAGATCAATGTTTTTTACTACACTGTCCACAGACTGACCTAAGTGCAGTACAGTTCCCATTCCAATGCCTGTCATAGGTACGACTCTTAAACAGTCTGAGGTGAAGGCTCCAGGAAATCCTAGACAACTCTTTACACAGAGTAACAAACTGTTTTTCAGATTTTGGGTAGTGTCCCTCTACTATGACTGGATCTGTTCAGCTGGATAGCAAGTCTGATTTTGCATACTAAAACCCACAACATGGTTTGCTGGATGGATTTTGTAGCTACTCAGGAAGTCAAACTGTTGTTTAAACATCTAAATCTCCTTCCATATGATTAATTGCAGTGAGAGTATGAGGAATAACGAGACTGCTTCGTTTCCAAACAATTGCAAATATTCTTAAGTGCTTTTAATAGAAGTTAAAGTTAGAAAATTTCCATCTAGATCCAACAATTGCCTGGAATTAAAAATGGTATCCTACCAGCCAATTTTTTTTTCTGTTTTAATGTCAGACTGAATAAACAAAAGCCTTAAAGAGCACAACTTTATCCCCTCATGATGCATCAGGGTTCATAGACAAGGTCAGTGACGCATCCTCCCTTAGCAAGCCCAGTTTTGCCCTCAGATAGAGTGCTTGGATTCTATGTGAGAGGAGGATTAGATTGTAAACATTTAAATAAGCTGGTATCTTATAAATTCAATTATAAAACTCTAAGGCAGTAAAAATTGTTGCCTCTCTTGGTTAAACAAGTTTATTATATACAAGTCCTTATTCTAAGAACACAGTGGGAAACACTAAACTGAGAAAAGTATATTTCTATCTAGTGGTCTGACTGATTAATATTTGACTTTTGAAAAGTCTAGTTACCTAAATGGAAGAAACTTCAGTACTAGTAGAGGTCATTAACCTGCATAAAATCAATGTGCCACCACCTGCCTTTGTAATTACGTCAATGACTCCTCTTCATTATATGCCTATCCACTTCAGTCTTACCAGAGGGCCTCAATGTGTTCTATCTGCATGTTGTTTTTTTTGCTAGACGGTGTCCTATACATTTTCTGCATGTTTCTACATCCCAGAAATCAAACGGGGTTAATATTCAACAGGGACTTTTCCTCAATAACGTGCTGTCTGTTTTCCGATACGACTGCTCCTCTCTAATTATGTTGGCAGTGCTGCAGAGGAGCACATAATATTATTGCCTAAGTTCAATAAACATGCAGAGTAACTATAAAGTTCAGAAAAAAACAGTCATGCTTTTATGATCTCTGGCAACAGTATAAGCACAGTTTGGCCAGTGCCAAACAAATGTCTAACTTAAAATCTCTCAGTGATCAGAAAATTATGGATTTACTTTACTTTATTACATCTAATAATAAACAAAAAATGCTGTTTGAGCAGTGAAGTAGTGTTTCCAGACTATTACTTTGCAGAAGGTCAAGCCAGAGGTCTATCAGTGGCTCTTTCTTCTACTGAAATCTGATAGACAATTCCCCAGGTGATCTTAGCTGAGGAAGTGTTAGTGAAGGCACCAGAGTCCCACTGACTGAAGCAGTGGGTTTGTATGGGTGTGTGATAGGAAAGCTCATCCACTTCATCTACAGTGGCATAGTAATTGATACATCCTGTTGATGAAATCCCTCATTGGCATCTTCAAACTAGGCCAAGTAAATCGAAAGGAAGACATTAGTAATATTCATAACTACTTGTTCATCACTAGCTTTTTCTACTTATTCATTATTAATAATTGAATAACCAATTCATTATTAATACAGCTAGATCTAGTAATAGTAGTCTACTCTCCGGTTATAAGTATAAAAACAGCAAAAGCCTGGGAGGTTTATATTAATGCAAAATTAAATGCCTATTCTCTGAGCCCTGAGCCTGAAAACCTATGCAAATTATTACTGCAGTAGACAATCTGTACAGAACTGGATGTTTAGTATCAGATCAGGACTGATAGTGGCCTGGCTATACCTCAAGATCTCTGTCTTCAAATTCTATCCACAGTTTAATGAAAACCAAAATTGTCACAGAAATTTCTGCTACATGGGTT